ATCTTTTCTTAAGTCTGAAGCATTTCTGAGTTGAGAAAGGGAGGTTCTCCCGAAAGCTTGTCATTAAACAATTCCGTTAGTCCAATAAAAAAGGTATTACAAGATACAAATTTTATCTGCTTTTTATATATATATATTTATAGATAGATAGATATAAATATAATTTCATTCTAAGTTTATTTTGATAACAATATATATATATATATATTATCAAAATACTTTTAGAATGAAATTGCATATATATATTTAAAAAATATATAAATTATTATTTAATGTATTTATTTTAATTTTATTAAAAAATATATATCGTATAAACAATTACTGTATGTATATATATATATATGTAACTCCATAATAAGTGTATTTTGATATTGATATATATAACTATATGGAATATATATAATATACATATCATATATATTATTATTATTTTTACCCTGATTGTTTGACTAACATTTTTTTAATCTTTTCTAACCAGCAGGGGGACTGCCATGTGGTCGCTCGTTCAGAGTGATCACATGACCCCGGGGCATAAATCGCAAAGGGGGAATACCTAGGCGGTCAGGCAGTCCACCAGAAGCAGACTGCGGCGGAGGTGAGTATATTACAGCTCCTGGGGCTCAAAGCCGTTAGAGCGTTCTATGCCGCCATAATGGCTTTAAAGCCTATTATAATGGGGACGGCATAGAACGCCCTAACGGTGTTAATGGGTTAAAGTTTAAAGTAAATAAAATGGGAATTTTAAGACCCTTGGATTTGGTTGCTGTAAGAGAATCAACTAACGTTAAATAAGTTAGTTGCTAAAACTGCAATATCCACGAGACAAGATATTGCTGAATTGTGGAAGATAGCCCAAGCCTCCAGCAATGGGATACGATTCCTCCAGAAGCTGGTGTCTGGCTATGCATTTTGTTTGCAGCAGGTCAAAACAGCAAAAGGGTGCTCTACCAAGTACTAGAAATGTTTGCCATGAATGGGTTGAATAAATCTGGTTACAACTGTATTGGCTCCCTACGAGATGTCTGGAAAAATCCTTAACGCAATATTGTTACATTTTCATAGGCTTTTCCCTGGTAACCGCAAGGCTGATTGGCTCTCAGTGTGATCTCATTTAACAATATGTTACTTACATGCTTTTTTCCTGTATACTTTTTTTTTTAACAATAAATCTTTCAGCAATTTGTCATATTGTACTTCAGTATACATGTGTTAATAAATCTATCAATAAAGATTTTATTTTTTTTTAAAGGGAATTTTTTAAATTTTAGACCATAACAGTTGACATGGATTATATTTTTTTTTTTTTTTTAATTTGACAATTTTTTTTATTATCCGTTATGGATTATTTTTTTAAATCAGTTATGTTTTTCAGGTCAGCTACTTTGACCAAAATGTTTTAATTTAATTTGAATTCAGTTTGCATTCCCCAATATTTCGTACAGTAAATAGTTTGAATACAAGAAGACAACGCTTTGCCTTATACTCTATGGCACTAAGTACAATTATTGGGGGTTTTAATAATTTTCTAAACTAATATCCCTGTTTTGGGGGGGGCAAGGTTGTATTTATTTACACATAATGATTCCACTGCTTCCATCCTTTCCTCTTGCTCTCTCTAATTACCAATTACCCCCACTCCTTCTTATACATCTATGGCCCTAATGCCGTCTTTGTGCAGTCCTCTCACCCTCATATTCTATATTCACTCTCTCATTCCTCAGACCCATTCTCCTTTACTGATAACGATTTATGGGGCTTATTCACGAAATACCGAACTGAAGTGAATTAAAATCCCAGTTGCAAAATTAAGGTATGACTTTAAATCTAATCTATTTTGACCTAAACGTGAATAGTTCCCATGAGATTGAACCATTGGGATCAACATGTCGGTATAAGGATTTTTACAAGTCTGTACTGACCCAGATTGTCTGAGCTAAAATATACGTTAAGCTACACTAAATGAGAGAAGCTTGATGTTATGATGGAGTGATTGTGGCTGAAAATGGTGTTATTGTTGGTTACAAGGGGCCATTGTGTGTGATAAAGGGACACCCTTCTTCAGTAACACAAGAGTCATAGAAAGTTGCGACAGACATTTACAATATGGCCCATACTTACTGGCTTTGGAATAATTCTGCTAAGTTGTTTTGTTTCTATGGTGATTGCTCCACTTTTAGAACTTTAATGTACTATTTGCAGCACTTTTATAACTATATATCTATCCTTGTGTTTTCGATATATATATATATATTTATTTTTTATTTTTTTTAAATGGCATTGAGGAGTAAATAAACCACAAGGTCAAAGGTTGAGTCATTCATGAATGCCTGCAAAAACCCCATAATGGCGTCATTTTAATTTTCATTAAATAGTAATTAAATAATCAGTGCTAGAGTCAGTATTTTACTGCAAGCAGTTATTTAATCTTGAGGCAGTACTGCACATACTTAGTCTACCCAAAATTAAAAAAAAGGCACTCATTAATTCAACCCTTTCCCAACAATGATATTAACCAGCTTGAGGAGCTAGGGAGACCACATTGCCCTCTTTCTGTCCCCCCAGCTCCTCTCCAGACGTGCCATTAAAGGGAGGGAGCTGAATTAAATTGCAGTAAGCTGCATAAGGATATGCAGTGTAACTCCTATTAATCGCAGGCACTCAGCACATACCTGAGATTGTGAACCACACAGTCAGTTAAACTGGGAAATAAGGCACAGATAAGTAAAGTATTCGTTTTAAAAAATGTTGAACTAATGGATACATAGATAGACTGACTGTAAGCTTGTTTGAGAAGGGTCCTCATCAACCTATTGACAATTTTGTAATTGTTTAATTTAATATTATATTTCCCCTTTTTAAACTATTGTAAAGCGCAGCGGAATAAGTTGGCGCTATATAAATATCGAAAATAATAATAGATAGCATACAATCGTAGCACGGTGCCCCATATAGAGATATGGTAATATTCTGTTGTTCCCTTGCCATTAATGATTGCCTTGCAGCTCTCCAGTTAATCAGTGCACATCCTCTCCTGTAGCACGCGTGTGACCTCCCTGCCCTGTGCAGGTTTCTCCTGTGCACCTGTAATGTGTGTGTATGTGCTGCTGTGACAGGCAGCATTGCGTGCGAGTGTGTGGATCGCACATGTCGTGAGAAGGGAGCAGAGCTCATTTAAGCAGCCGGCAACAGTCAGATATCAAAAGAATCTGCAGCGAGGAGAGAAGGGTGGAGCAAGGTTAAGTGAAATGTGATCTTGGCTGAGTTACACCCTGAGAGAACCATCTCTCTGTCACTCACAGCTCATTGCATGCGAAGAGGGACGCTAAGATAAACAGCTGGGGAATCACACACTTCCTACAGCGCAGGCCTCAAGTAGCTCCTGTGTAAAGGTGTCGCTAGGATGGCGCGTCCGGAGAGCACACTGCTCTCTACCTGCTGGAATCCTCGTTACAGTGACATTCTCTCACACCTGGGAATAGACATAGCGTACATTCCTTCCGCTGCTGTACAGCTACAATTCCCATGATGGTTTGCCAGCCTTAACGTATACCAGACACATTGCACCCATGTTTGCTGTTCCATTTTGACAGCAGAATAGCGAAGCAATGTGTTGGTTTAAAAAAAAAAAAAAAAGAAAAAAAAGGAAATCAATCTGTTTCCAAATTATAAGTTTGTCTAATTATGGCGCATGCGCAGTTGTGCCTCAATCCGCAAATCCAGTGGCTCCTCATTTAGAATCATTCAATGCACACAGTGTCAGCATATTTTACATACTGACTCCAGACATGAAATAGATTCAGTTATTGACATTATTTCAGTCCGAAGACCCTAGGGCACTCCAGATGATGTGGACTACATCGCCCAGAATGCTCTTACAGGCATAATGTTGGCAAAGCATCGTGGGAGATCAAGTTCAATTCCTCAGAAACCGAGCTGTCTCCATCTTCAAGGCTGTAGCATCTTTGTCCTAGAATCACTTAATTAATATGGAGTGATTTGGGTGTTTAAAGTGTCCTGGCACAGTCATGATACAGTCAGGACACACATGGCGTTGGAGGGGAACAAACAGAATATATTTCTATTTCTCTCCATGTTGACTTCTGGGTATAAAAGGAAGAACTTATAACAATGGCTGATGAAGGTTCCAACATAGACAAAAATACAGTTGCTTGGATTTCTGCATTTAATTATATCTTTCACACCTTACAGACACATCATTATTAAATATAAGGGAGTAAGTGAACATCATATTGAAAATCTTGGCAAGTGATTAACCCCCTTTAATAACTTTAAAAAGCAAGGAAATGCACAATTTATCACTATGATAAATGTTATTTTCAGTGCTTAAGGGGGAAATTAACTGTTAAGGTGAACCTGTCAAAACAGGTTCACTTTAAAGTTTGGAAAATAGTAAGAATTGTAGATCTACAACGTACATCTTTAAACACTTCTGGGTGTCAAAATAGAGAGAGGAGAGTCATATTTAGGTTTTTTTTGGGGGGGGGGGTTTGTACATTTGATCTTTAAAGAACTAAATGGATAACACTTGCAAAAAAATACATTTTTTATGTTGATAATTATGATGCTTTATTTTCCTTTGCAGGAGATCAGCTCTTAAAGTTAATATTTAAGCTGATTGTCAATTAATTGTTCAGATTTTATTGACGTTCTATGGCATACAGCTGTGAAATCCACTACATCGCATGCTACAGAAGAATGAAGCCTCATATTGACCTCTGCTCTGATTCCCAGGGATTCTTTTCTTAAAGGGAAAGTTTGACAAACATGATAAAATATCAGTTTTGTATTTTTTTTTTTACTAGAACATGAGTCATAATACGTTTAAAAATACTAACAGGGGGCGGGACATGGCGGCAGTCCAGCACAGATGCCATTTCTGAAACTCTGCAGATCCAGAACATTAATCCACATAAAATCTATATTTTTATCGTGCATCCACTTACATACAGGCTGGTATCGGCTGCAGAAGGCACATGCTGATGCCGTTCTTTCTGCCGCCGGTCACCAAACACAAACGCAAGCCTACTAAGGCCTCCCACGCGAGCAGTCCGAGAAGCACGACTAACAACATTGCGGCCTGGGGGGACCTGGACTGGTCTACACCTGAACCTCGACAGATACAGCCCCAAAAGGTGGACGAGATGAGAAGGGAGACCCAAAAGTCTCATGTGCAAACACCGAAGGAATCACAGGACATCGGCACGCTGCTACAAAGCACACCCAGGCACAGAGTCTTGGAGCAGGCTGACACTGTGGTCTATAATCCACTGACGGAGGACAGTGTGAATATGGATGCCTCAGGGCCAGAGCCTCCCACACCTGTGAACCCAGTCACAACTACTCCTGCAAGTATGGTTCCTGCAACAAAACAGGACATTGACAATCTTTTTATTAAAATTTAAAAGCTGTTTGCGGTTGACATAGCCATGGTGAGGTCTGAAGTACAAGCGGTCACAACCCACATTCAAGCCACCCTTGCACTATGGGTGTATATCCTAGATGAGAGAACTCGCCAGAAAAACCTAAAGATAAGAGGGGTCTCGGACTCAGTGGCACTGGAAGAACTACCTCACTTTATTAGGCGCTTGGTGAACACGCTACTTCCAGCAAAGTAAGCCAAGCAATTCACCAACGATGGAGTCTACCTCATCACCAAATCACCTAAAGCACCACCTACATCCCCCGGGGATATAATATTACATGGAAGGACAATGCAAGACAAACAAGCTCTGATGAGGGCTATGCAGAAAAAGTCTCCACTGGACTTTGTCTCACAACATGTATATTTTTCAAGACAAGTACTTGGAACGTGGCAAACATAAGTCCCCAAAAAGTAAACAGGACGCTGTGACATAGCAGACCAAGCAACGATTGTTCCTGTTTCTCACTCTCACTTCTTCTCAATCTCTTCTCTCCAAAACTTCCACTCTGTTACTTCTATTCCTTACCTGTTCTAAGTTCCAGAGAATATCTGTGCTAAAATTACGACAACTACATGTGAGGGCTCTCTAAGAGTCTATTGATGATTAGCCAATTATCTCCACACCACCCCCTGTTGACAGCACTGGTTAGGGGCTTTGTCTGACCTCCACAACTCAGGATGTATCCAAGCGCCTTGTCACAGCACAATGTCTGTAGATTACTATGACGTAGAGCAATATATTTGTAGTTACCCTTTTCTTTTAGTTTATATTATTGTTTCATCCCGACGAGTCCCTTCCACCTGACTATAAGTTACATTAATAAGACTGTTGTGTTGTGGCACTGTTTAAATTGCTTATGGCTTATCCCTAATGCGACTACAATGTTAATAGTATATAACCATTGTGAACCAAGTCGCATTCTTGTCTTTAGCATACGTGTAATAATAAATCACCTGCAAAAATAAAGAAATTTAAAAAAATACTAAAACAAAATCTTAACAAATTGTGGCATTTGATGTATTTTTATTGTTTCCGAATTTCAGTTGAAGAGCTGTTTATTAGCAGTGAAGAATGTCCATCGGACAAACCCCTGGTCATGGCTTTTAGTCCGTTTTTCACGGTATACAAGCTGTGTCTCTGTCTGCCTCCTCCAGGGTTGCATTTTATTTTTTGAGACACTTGTTAATTTTTTTCCCTTTGGGACTTGACAATGCTTCGCTGCAGTATGTGTAATTTGTGTTCCAGCAGAGTTAAATCAATTAATGACAGCACCTTCAAGCACTGTCAAAAAATGTGAACCCCTTGCCCAAAAATGCAAAGCGACACCTAGAGAAGGGCTTTGTGAAATGAGGATCCATGGTTAGTGCCTCACCTAATCAGCCCTGTGGGAGCAATTCATAGGTGTAGGCTGAATCCTGCTGACATCAGCTCCAAGGTTGGGTCTTAAAAAATAAATATGTTGAAGTCACTGGAATGGCTGGGATATCACAGCGACTACACATGCCCTTTGGCCTACTTATTAATAAAGTTTGGGAATTGAGAGTCATCAGGGGATAGCTGAGAGACACGGGTGGAGATAACTGAGAGACATGGGGAAGTGTATCTGAGAGACATGGGGGGATAGTTGAGAAACATGAATGGGAATAGGTGAGAGACATGGGTAGGGATAGCGAGATACATGGGGGAATGTAGCTAGGAGACACGGGTGGATAGCTAAGAGACACGAGGGTGATAGCTGAGAGACATGGATAACTGAGTGACAAGGGAGGGGATAGTTGAGAGACAGGGGCTAACTGAGATACACAGGAGGGGATAGTTGAGAGACAGGGGAAGCTGAGATACACGGGAGGGGATAGTTGAGAGACAGGGGATAACTGACATACAGAGGAGTGTAGAGTTGAGAGACAGGGGATAACTGAGATACACAGGAGGGGATAGTTGAGAGACACGAAAGGGGATAGTTGAGAGACAGAGGATAACTGAAATACACAGGAGTGGATAGTTGAGAGACACGGAAGGGGATAGTTGAGAGACAGAGGATAACTAAGATACACAGGAGGGGATAGTTGAGAGACACGGAAGGGGATAGTTGAGAGACAGAGGATAACTGAGATATACAGGAGGGGATAGTTGAGACACGGGATAACTGAGATACACGGGAGTGCATAGTTGAGAGAAAAACAAAGATATTTGAGGCATACGGCCAAATGAGGGTAGATGAGGGACATACGGAATTAATTGACAGTAGAGCCAGGGATTGCTAATAAACACTGGTATACAGTTCAACAAAATTCTGCATTTTAATTTATGCTGGATTAAGTTTAATATGCATTTTAAAACATTATCTACTTTGCACACAATAGTAATTTACTTATATAGGGACTGGGTGTATTACGGTGCTCCAAACCTCAAATTAGACCCAATTAAGTCGTATAATGGAGACAATAAAATGCTTGACAAACCACTCTGTAAAAGATCCCTCCAAAAATTTACACGCCAGAACAAAGTTTAAAATGGTGGCAGACTGTCTTGGGATAATTTACAAAAACTCAATAACACTGATCTCAGAGTAAGCATGCGCAAAGCAATTACACACAACGTAATCAACTGTTTGGTAGCTGCTGTTAACCTGCTAGAGGTTATCCTGCAGACTCAGCGAGCATGCCTTAATATAAGCATTCGAGGATCTGTAATTCAGTAAATTTTCATTTTATATATAAATATATATATTTTTTTAAAACAAACAGTCCATCAACCATAAATAATGATCTGTATACATTAAGGTCTCTTAATCAACCAAACTGGATTCCACCTATCTACAAGACAGACAGGTGTATTTCCTAAATATCCCAGCTGTATTGTGTGTCTTTACATACCTCACCATTATTCTGTTGTGGTTTTCTCATTCACTACACTATATTTTCACCATTTACTATCTTTTTTAAACATTCAGTATGTTTTACATCACACTCAGATTTTTTCGCATACCTTACATTATATCTAGAATTTTTATATTGTGATTTGTTTGCTAATATTTTACGAAGTTAATTATTTACTACTACTTTTCTATATTATATGTTATTTTTTTAAGGAGGAGGGTTTTTGTTGGTTTATTTTTGTAGACTTGTGTACATGGTGCATTGCACTAAACAATGAATTGAAGCGAAGGGAAAAAATTTGAATTGCGAAATTTAGACAAAAACAGCTAAATTAGAAAAATTCTCCAACTCGGCTATATTTATTTATTTATTTATTATTGCAATTTATAAAGCGCACACAGATTCCGCAGCGCTGTACAATTAGTTGAGAAACGTACAATATACACAAACAATATATATTTATAACCTGGCTATTTTGTGTAAAAATTTGTTTTTTTACTATACATGTGCACAGGGGGAAAAAAAGTGCATTTTGGCCAAAAATATTCTGGAATATTCAAAATGTGGATGTCCATTATTCCCTAATTTGGTACGCTCATGTGGGATAGCTCTATCTAGGATACCAGACTAAGCCACTGGTTAGTAGATAGCTCCCCTAGTTTGGTAGACTTACTTGGGACCGTTCTATTTAGTATACCAAATTAGGATGCTGTTTAGTAGATAGCTCCCCTAATGTGGTACCCTTATGTGGGATTGCCCTATTTAGGACACCAAACCAAGGCGCTGTATAGTCTAATGAAATTTGTTTCGTCCGAATCTAAATGCCCGTCTACGTTTCAGCTCACTACAAATCTCTTTAGAGTTCAAAATCCCCTGATTACAAGAAAACCCTTCATTAAAGGTAATACTGGTGCATAAATGAGTGTTTAAATAATAACCTCATCTAGTACCTCTAGTATACATTTTATTGACAATTCATTTTATAATTTGGGCAAATATCAAGTTTAAGCCTTACTCAAGATAAAACAGACAACTTTCCATTATGTCTGTGAGGTTCAAATATCTTTACATTTCTTTCATAATATATGTATTGCTGGAACTTTTCCTTAATTATTATCCCTTTTCCTATGAATTACATTTACACAAAATCTTTTGTTTTCAAAATGAAATTGACCTTTGTTCCAGCACTGGGATTCATCCGGCAGAGATACATATTTCTATGAAAGTGATAGATTGGAACTATAATTTGTGCTAGCTATCAACAGTAACATTTGTAGTTCAAACTTCATATCAGCATTCAAAGTGGGTTTTTGTGTTTGTTTCTTTGTGTTTTATTATTCGTTTGCTATTTCAAACTTTGGCCTCGATTAACCCCTTCATGACGGAGTCAATAGTGCACGTTCTGATCAAAACAAAACGTAAACAAAAACTGGAATTTGCGCTATATGTCTGTTCAACGGTAATTCACTGCTGTCACATTAAGTGCACCCACACTTATTATATATTATTTTGTTCAGGAAAAACAGGGCTTTCATTTATCATTAACTATTCATATATGGAACATAATTTATTATGAATAAAATTTAAAAAAAATTGAGAAAATAAGATTTTTTTTTAAATTGGTATTTCCGTCTGACATTTTAGCTGTGAATGTCATAATACTGTTAGGTTTTACTGCAAAAAAATGCCCATATTTGTAATCAATGATGTCTCACGAGTACAACAGTACCCCCCATTAACAGGTTTTATGGTGTTTTGGAAAGTTACAAATATAGAACGTTCCATTTTCAAATTGAAATTTGCCAGATTAGTAATGTTACCTTTGAGACGGTGTGGTAGCCCAGGAATGAGAATTATCCCCATAATGGCATACCATTTGAAAAAGTAGACAATCCAAGGTATTGAAAGTGGGGTATGCTTAGTCTTTTTTAGTAGCCACTTAGTCACAAACACTGGCCAAAGTTAGCGTTCATATTTGTTTTTGTGTGAAAAAAAGCAAAAAACTAATATTTGGCCAGTGTTTGTGACTACTAAGTGGCTACTAAGAAAGACTGGACATACCCCACTTGCAATACCTTGGGTTGTCTACTTTTGCAAATG